ATCAATGTCAATTTCAACATGTCGACCCCTGCCATCACAGTTTTTAAGGATAAAGTCATCTAAATGAAATTTGCTGAACCATCGTTGAAACTTATGAACACTCAAAACATTTCTATAAACTTCTTTGGTATTCTTTGTGGCTACAGAGGTGTTCTTTATCTTCTTGTATTCAAACAATATTACATGTCGAATGTGTGTCTCGTCGTGTGCCATCACTGTAAGGGATTAGAGTATATTAAATTTTACACATTATATAGGCTACACTAACGTGATGTTTAGGTGGTTTGTTTAACTATTATATGTGTTGTATGTTTTTTAGAGGGTGGTTAATGGAAGTGTTCCAAAATGTGACATTAGTTTCTTGACGATCTAATAGTTTGATGTGTGTACAATGTTTCAAATAATTATTTTAGATATTCAATATATATTTAGCATTTTAAAAATATACTTATTATTTTGTGTGGCCTTCCTTTGTGTGGTGAGCCATTATACCCAGCAGTTAGAAAATATTAAAAATGATGTAACTAGTAAAATTAGACCTTTAATCAGTGTCCAGGTTAGATGAGAAACAATATTATATTCTTTAATATGCAATAGAAAACATGTTCTTTTAGTTAACCAATCATAAAACATGACGTAATAGATTTGTATCTTAAGCCAGGTGTTATTAATTTTTGTTTTAAGTATGAAATGAAGATCTTGTGTATTAACCAAAAAATACATATATCACTTTTATTTCAATCTTAAGCTGCAGTTTTTGATTGATGCACTCCTAAAATGTAACATATTCCTTTTTTAATTTAGTGTGCCAACTTTTAGGAAGTTAAATGAAGAAACCCTCATAAAGATAGCTGATGTGCTTGAAGAGGCAAGTGATACAGCTTCCAAAGTCATTAAAAATAGCTTAAAAAATTATAAGTTAGACTCTGGCTTTTGTGTCAGTTTTATAATTCTAGTTATGTATTACGTGGTTGTTTTATGTTTACATAAAAATTACTAAACATATTTTGTTTAAAATTCAATAATTTTTGAGATAGAGAATTCAATTTTTATTTTGTTATGGTTTTGTTATTCCTTCTATCATTTAGTTTACCTATGAATATTTAGTTACATTAAAGCACTAACTCACCTTCTAGCTGATCACATTGATTTTGAGTAACTTTGTATGTATTATGAAACTGACACCAGCTTACCCTAGTGGTGACATACAGATGTTAATCTTGTAAAAGGTTATGTAAATTTATTATAATAGGTAGTCTCTTGGTCTAATGAAGCTTCCATGAGTTAGTTCACATGATATGGCTAAAATGTATTATTGCTGATTGTTACTTTGTATTGTTATTGATCTTGTAGTTGTTTAAATTTGGAATATTTTGTTTTTTTTTAAATTAGGTTTTATCTTCTTCTGTTTCTTTTTCCTGATTCATTTATTTATTGAAATAGTTATTAACATTAATATTTATGTTGTATTGTTAAATCATTAACATTAGTATCAAGTCCTGGCCAGACACACAGTTAATTGTGTTGTTGTAAGCGATAATTTTTTTTATTCCAATTCTTTGAAAGTTTTATTTTGGATTACCGTGGTTGTCAAAGTTTAATAAATTTGTTCTTTTTTTGTTTGATCCTGGTTGTAGCAGCTGTTTATGACAAACTAATATAGCCCCCATTTTTTAGCTGTAATTAGTAAAAAAAGCAAAGAATAAATGAAAATATATATGTAGGTGATTGTGTACAAAAATGTGAGAGTTATTTATGCAAAAATTGTTTTTTTTTTGTTTTTTTTCTTCTGTAGACAACTTACAGCAAAGGGGATTATATCATAAGACAAGGAGCACATGGAGATACCTTCTTTATTATCAGCAAAGGAAAGGTTAATGTTAACAACTTCTACTGCAATTGAAAGAAGTACAAAATATATCTGTTATTACATAGATAAATTCATATTATAAATTTTGTTTTTGTTTTAGAATTACAGTGAAATCAGATATGATTTACTATGTAAGTAGTGGTTGTACTTATTTTAATGCTATGGTACAAGTTTGTTCAGGAATCTGCAAATCAGTAACCCTTGAGCTACATTTCTTAAAAACATTTTCTTTATATATTTTGTATCACCCTGAAAATTCCTCACAAGTTTTGGCCTTAGTCCACATCACTGATATATTTGAGGGTTTATCAGAGTAGTAAATTATTTTGTTTATACATATTGTGCAAAATTTCTGTCAGGGAGCACTGCACTGTTTAAATTATAACATTTGACTAATATGTCAGGATTAGAATAAGCTAAAAGTACAGACCACTAAAAGTCATTTTTTATGGATAACTTTGGTTTCAGATTAGTTGATACACTGTCTTGCTCTTGACTTTTGACACCTTAAGATCTTATGGATGGATGAATTTGGAGTTCATGTACACACTTAAATATGAAAGTCTCTCCCTAGTTAGTTTTGTAGTTCAACATCCATATTCATTATTTACTTTAAGTTATTTCTGGAACAATATTTATAAAGTACTAAAGACATTTTGGCTAGTTGTTGATGAATCTTTGTTCTGAATTTATGTTTAGGTACAAGTGACAATAAAAGTCCCAGAGTTAGAAGAAGAAAAATACATTAGAACTTTATACAGAGGAGACTTTTTTGGCGAGAAAGCTCTTCAGGGGTAAGCTGATCTTAATTAATAGTGTTCATAATTCTCCAGAATTTCTATTTCATCTGTACAAATGTAAGAACAAGCACTAATGCCATTAATGATTAAAACGTGTCCATGTGAATGTCATGATGAACAAATAAAGGTGAAATGGGCAGCAACTGCTTTATTCAATATAACACCTGTGGAGAAAGTCTTGGAGTATCAATTTATAAAAGTAGCACTGATGGAAAAGAATGATGTTTGGAAAGACATCTGTCTTTTGTCTTCCATTTCCATCTGTACAATTTTTGTATATTAGCCCTCCAAGACCTTCTTCACAAGTATCATGCTGAACTAGGCAGTTGCTGTTTATTTCACCTCTGTTTGTTAATTCTTCAAAATGAATAACTAATATACATATTTGGAAAATATATTTCTTTGAAAAAACGTATGCAATATCTTGAGTGGCCTTTGTAAGCAGAGTTTAAAATAATTGAGGAGAATTTTCAATTATATCATTCTGTTGACAGTGTTTTGTATTTATGTAGTGGTGAAGTGAGAATTAATGCTTTTGAAAATCAGTAATAACTGAAAACTAAGCAAAAGTATTTCATTATTTTCAAATCAGTGGTTAAAGAATTATTATGTTAAAGGCTAGAAATATTCTATAAGGTAACAGAGCAATTAACTCAATCACAGGTAGATAATTTCTAATCATATCCGTAATAATTAATTAATTCCCAAACTTCATTAAGTCGTGGCCTTAATCTATTAATCTACATATATACAATCTTTTCTCATCACCCCTCTTTGCAAGATACTTGAACAAGCTATGATGTACTGCTGTTACATTTACTGAGAGCATGATTACATATACTTCTTTTGCAATAGATCTTAAAATCTGCGTTTTCTTTTATGCATGTTTGAAGCTATTTAGTGTTGATCCAATATACCTAAAATTACATTTATACCATTTAAGTTCATATATCTTACATTAAATGTTTTTATTGATGATATTTTATCTTTAAACTTGGAAAAACTTTGATCTGCTTTCAGGTTTAATTAAAACCATGGACACAAGCCTACTGAAATAATTAAATAATTAAGAACTTATTTAACAACACTGCATCCTCCAGTACTTGACAGTTACCTAAGTGTACCTAATGAACACTAACCTCCCAAAACACTTAAAACTGGAATAATTTCAAAATATATCCAATAATGCCTCAAGTGAATAACATCTTTCTCAGCCTGTTGCTTTAAAGACAATTGTTTAGGAAAATTCCATTTCAACTATTTAGAATTATTGACTTAAATTTGCTCAAATAATCACACTTGCCGTTAATATTATTTGGAAAGTCATTTTGATTAAAAACATTTAATATTTCATATATGCTAGTGATTTTATATACAGGATTAATCAATGTATTAGTCAAATGTTTTTTAAAATTATTATGAGATACAAATGTCAAAATTAAAGTATAAACCAGTAATTACATTCAAACTTGTCATTATTACATATCTAAAAAAAATTGATATTATTGTTGATCTTTTGCAGTAAGCTCTATATCAATATGTTGACTATTAAAATACTTCAAGAAGTAGTTAACATGTTCATTATCATGAAAGATGACAAATGTCTCTTCAAAATTTGATCCTTTAATAGTATGTAGGCTTTAAACTTGGAGTCTTTCATCCTCTGTTTTTTATCATAGTAAGAAAACAAGTTAGCAAAAGGTTATGCCAGTCTTTAACCAATTGCCATTTTATCAGTGTAATCATGTACAGTGTTGTTCAATAGGAAATGAGATTTTTAGTTGTAAATTCTAGTAGTTTTTGAAAAAGATGCCTGAATATCCTCATTATATTATAATCACTGTGATCTAAAAGATCCACCATTGTAATACTCTCTTCCAAAATAATATTTGTATGTAGAGATTCCAGATCAAAACATTATTATTAAGCTTTAAATTCTACATTTCACTGGCAGGAAGAAAAAATCTCATGCTATATTTATTATATGTAAGCTTTTCAAAAAACTTAACCAAGAAACCAGCTAGATCATGATTTTGTGTACTTACATCTGTATTACAAACTAAAACTATACACTTATCTGTGTTCTAATAGTGTAAGACTATATAAATTATTTTGAAACTTGTTGTTAAAAGGTAAAATATAATTTTCGAATTTAAGTTTCAAAGAATGATTGGGAAATTTTATTTGTCTGCAGGATGTTGAAGCCTGCCTTAATTCAGAAAAGAAGTATCAAATGTGACAGATAGCAGTTGCTTTAAATGTTGTTGTTAAATGAAATAGTAGTTTTAATTTCTTGGAAGTGTTTCTAAAAAGATACTACTTTTGTGTTGTATGGCAAATAGATTCCTTTCTCTCTGTTTTGAAAACATAATCAGAAAAATTTAATATTACATCATTAGGATTGTTGGTAAAGATACTACTTGTTTGTTGCATTCTCAACTGATTAAATGCATCCAACTGCAACATAGGAATACATCACACCTCATTCAAAATATTCTCAAAGTGGAACAATGCGAAAAGCTTACATATAAAATATACTTTAAGCCACAACTTTTTGAAATAAGTATTGGAAAACTTTAAAGAGGTAAAAAACCAAGAGTAAGTAGAACTTACCCAACTTTCAGGATCACTTTATGGGTCCTACTTCTTCTTTTGCCTCTTTTTAGTGTACTGAGTTATTTGTTCTTGTTCAGTCGTTGATTTTTGTTGTTGCCATTTTAAGTATTTTTTGGAAATTTTTCTTTACCTATATAAGATTATTTATGTCTGCATGTGTAGCCAGGCTATACATCAATCATGAAATACATCTTACAGTTGTGTGTAAATTTATAATATTGAAAGAATATTTATGTAAGCAGCCAAAAGTGTGTATCATTAATATTATTTTTCTATTTTTCTGTATGACAAACGTTGACTGAACTTTTTAGAATGATATTGTTTATCTGAGTTTGTGAAATGACATCTCCTGGACAATATCATCCTTAAGAAATCATTTGATAAAGGTCTTAAAAATCATTGTTTTTTAGTGAAAAGTTTCTCGTTTATTTTTTTTTCAAGAAATAATAAGTGAACTGCACTGTTTTCTTAATTCAATCCTGGTTTGAGTATTTTACTGTAATAGATTTTCCTTTATTTTTAACTTGTTCATTATCAGCCCTGTCCAAGATTTTAATACTTTATTTATGGGTTCATTACTTTAATGTGTGTCTCTTAATGCTTGAATATGATGTAGATCTCAAATTGGTATGCTCTTGTATGTGTATTGTTAATGCTGTAGTGGTAGAACATGTATAACCTAAATTACACAATTATTCATATACTACATTTGATGTTTTATAAGCAGATATCCAGTCTTTATATTTAAACATATTTTGTAATTTGCACATAAGCTTAAACATGCATATCAATTCTTTTTGTGGATAATTTCAATGGGTTACTTTTCTTAGCTGATTTCTAATCTCTTTTGCCTGTTTCCCAGTGTATGTTAAAACAAAAGTAATTGTTTGTTTTTCTGCTTACTGTGTGGATGATGTTGGAAGGACTCTCTTATTTTAATAATCATATATAACTAAATAATCATTTATCAGTGATTAATTGAAAAAATTATAACAAAAATATATCTTCTGTTTTAATCAAATTGTATGTAGTGTGAAGATTTTTATACTCACATAGTTATATTGTACCTTTTTTTTTTCTCAGAGAATTAGACATATCTTCCATAGGAAGTCATACAGTTAACAGTTGTAGTATTACAGGACAGATCCTAATTGAGATTTCTTACATGAAGGTTGCTGTATTGTACTGAAAAATACATTATAGACAGCAAACTATAAGTTATAAGTAATTTTAAATTTCAACACAATATTTAACTTTGAACTTATAGAAAATATTGCAATATTTCATGAGATGTGTGAAAGACTACTCAGAATGGCAATTTATTTTCTTTTAATGACTTATTTGGTGGTTCAACACCTGGTATATAGAACATGGCAAAGAATGAGAATGTTCTATTTTGTTTTGTAGAGAAGATGTTCGTACAGCTAATATCATAGCAGATGACTCTGAGGGTGTGGTATGTCTAATCATAGACAGGGAGTGAGTATTTGTTATTATTATTAAATCACTTTATTTTGTATTCACTTGGATATCTTAAACAATTTGAGCATACAATTAGTACAATATTCTCACAGAAACTTGTAATTTAAAAAAAACATTTGTATTTATAAATACAATTATTCTTGTATAACAGTTGATAAACGTTTGCTTCTATATAAATGGAACAATTGCAAAAATCAACCAAAATGTTTTGGAAACAAAGCATTTACATAAATGCATTTTGTAATTGCTATTTTAAAATGAATTTAATATTGAGTTGTAAAGTTAACTAATTTTCCCAGTAAAAAATGAATTAAATACATACAGATTTATGATCAAGAAGGCTAAGGTAAATGCACTTGTTGTATCATTGTTTGAGTTAATTAAACAACTGTGTAATGGTAAAATGTAGGGTTGAGACAGGAGATGTATAAGTTGCAAAACGAAATATAAATATCAAATTTAAAAACCTTATTTGATGGCTTGAAAACCAAGAAATTTATATCTCAAAAATAAATTGGAATCTTCTCAATATCCTGCTTTTTTTTGTAGGTCTTTTTTGCAACTTATTAGTAATATTGATGAAATCAAACAAAAACGCTATGATGAAGAGGAGATTATTGAGCGCAAAAAGTAAGTTATTATCCTTTGTTTTATATTTATTTAGCTCCACTGTTTTGAGTAAACGTTTTTGTTATATAGATGTTAATGAAGCTTAAACAGTACTATTTTGTAAAATTCCATATTTATTGTATAAATCCTGCTAGAATACTTAACTTATAATAACTTTGTGAGTTTATGTTAATTTTACCCATCTAACCATATTAACATATAGATACATTGCAGTAGATAATACAGGCTTTTTCTGATATTTGATCACTTCAGATCGACTTTAGACAAGTAACTGAAAGATCAAAAGATATGTAGAGTACAGTGTTTTTATAGAAAGCAAGACCTCTGTTTGATTTGATTAATGTTTACAGTTTAGGATGCTTTTTTAACCCTTCAATTCCCTAATGCTACTGATATTGTAACATTTTAAGAAAAATAATATAATTATTTACATATGAAAAATGTGTATTGCAGTGTTCTTTACTTGTAACTTTAATTCTTAAAATCAATTATTTGAGAAGTGATGTAGAAGCCCAATAATTATGAATGACAGGTTTTAGGTTTTCACAAGAAAGTAAAAATAAGACTTAAGTTTTCACTTTACTTATCCTTTTGCACTCTGAAGAAATTTTGAGGTAAGACATTATTATATAAGAGACATAACTGCTTGTATTTGTAACATAAAATTGCATGGCAAAAATTCTTATTATGGGTTATTTTAAATTTGTAATTCATATGTAGCATAATGGATTCCTTGTAACACATAAATTGTAGTTGTTATATGTTGTGTTGTACAGTTTGTTTAAGAGAAGTGAAACTAAATGACAACTAATGTCATTCATAATTTTTTCCATTTTTTTGTGAACATACAAAACAAACTTTTTCTTGACCTTCCACCCCCATTCTGAAAGCATACGCATAAATTGGTGAAGTTTCTTAAAGCATATATGATCAGATATAGCTCATTATAAATAACATATAGTAACATGGGTGTCTGCAGAAATTTCTCCAGGCAGGGTCAACATTTTCGGGGGGGGGGGAGCAAGTATTATGAAATTGTGAATTGAATAAAAAATTCATATACATGCACTGAATGAATAAAGAAAGAATTATGTTTCTCATTTTCAATTGGAGTCAAGTGCCCCTCTTGCCTTCCCCTTGTGAACGCCCATGTATAGTAAACAAAAAAGAGGTGTTTAAGTCCACAAAATTAGCCAAATTTGTTGCTGTTCAATACTACTGCATGTTATTTATTGATAGCAAATGACATGTTTTTGTCATTTTTTTAAATGAACTTGAACTCCTCCTTCAACCTTATATTTTGTACACTTTTGAAAATGGAAAAAATATTGTAATTAACCCCTCACTCTAGGCTGCATTTTTTTCATTTTGTTGCTTCTTACATTTTTCTCAGAAACACCTTACATATGGTGAACAATAATTTTCTGTACACTGATTATTGGAGATTGTGGCATTTAGTTGCACCCAGTTTATTGTATTTTGTATGAAACTCACTTTGCTAACTTCAGTCATTGGCTGTTCGTGCACAACATAAAAACTTGTTCTGTGAATTAAACCTCAAGTCTTTGTTTAATCATTGTATTTAGATATAAATACTGTTAGACTTTTGTCTAAAGAAACTATTCTTCCATGCACACACAGACTGAATGAAGAATTTGTTCACTTGAAGTTGACAGATCTTAAAGTTATTGCTACTATAGGGGTTGGAGGGTTTGGAAGGGTTGAGCTTGTAAGTATGAAGCTGAAAGCTTTTAAGTTTTTAACTTTTTTTTACTTTATTGAAAACATACGGCATTGTAAGAATTAGCATTTACGTTTTAAACTTTGAAAGAGTAACTCTTCACTTTTATTCTTTTAAATTGGACCAGAAAGGATTATAATTCTAGTTTGCATGCCTAGTTTGAAATGTTTACAGTTTCTAGGCTTAGAATGAAAGCTAGAACACCTTTGGAGTTTAAATATTGCACTTTGGTAATCTTGACTTTTTGTAAATGTGTAATATGATCTTGTTAATAAATCAATGTATCAACTAAGTTTGATAATATTCCATTTTGCATGGCCTTTTATAATTATAACTATTTTACTTTAAACTTAAAGTAACATTTGAACAACTTTGCAAACCATAATGGTTTAAGTGAAAAGTTATAAATTTTTTAGGAATTGGTTGAAATTTTTAATCAATACATAATAATAATAATAATAATAAAAATGATTAGAAAAACTAAACATCGTTTTGCTATTATTTCTTAAGTTTAATTCCAGAAAAATGGATAAAATTCCAGACATGGACACTATTTCATAATGTAAGTTGAAACTGTAGCTCTTTTGTAATATGATGTTTAAGGTAAAGGTGAATGATGACACTGCAAGGACATATGCTCTCAAGGTGATGAAGAAAGCTCAGATTGTAGAAACTCGTCAGCAGCAGCACATCTTGTCTGAGAAGATTATAATGGAAGAAGCCAACTGTGATTTCATTGTCAAGTAAGAAACATTCTAAAGATAGTTCTATAATAACGTTAATGAAAATAGAATTCTTAGAAGTAAAAGAAACAATGAGGTTAACAGGACTAATTTCATAAAGTGAGTTGGCAGCAAATTTTTATCATCTGAAAAAATGTTACATTTTGATTTTATGGAACTATATATACACTGAGTGGTCACAAGTAAATAGACACCTAATGTTTCGTCATTTAACTGATTTATTCAAACTAATTTGTGTTCACAGAGCACTATATAAATGAAAATGGTCTGCACACTACTTATCTTGTGCTACAACATGCCTAGAACTCAAGGTTCTCTCGAATTGTCAGATTTTGTTAGAGGAAGGATAGTTGGTCAAGCAGATGGTGGAATAAGTCAGCGGCAAATTTCACAGAATTTGGGAATCCCGCTTTCGACAGTCAACAGAATCATCGTGCAGTTCAGGAAACACTGCAAGGAAACAACTGAGCAGCGTTTGGGTCGCCCTGGTCCATCGGAGAGGACAAAAAGAGCTCTCAAGAGGAGAATCGAAATGGATCCCAGATTAACGACTGCAGAAGTGGCCGAAGTTGGTGGGATGAGCCCGAAATCTGTTCAACAGATTCTCCACAGATTGGGTTATCGTTGCAGAGCAGCTAGATGGAAGACCTTATTAAGACCTGCCGACATAGTCAGACGAAAGAAGTGGGCAAGTGATATGATGACCAAGCCTCTGGACTTTTGGAAGACTGTATTGTTCTCAGACGAATTAAGATTCGCTCAA